GTACATAGTTGATAGATTAACGTACTGGCAGGTCGATAAGTGAACAAGGGATTATAGCATGATTGCATGAGTATTTTTGTTTCAAATTTGTTTAATTGATGCATAAGGTAATTCATCGTCAGCATGAATATACATTTTGGGAAAATATGCACAGGTATTCTAATCGCTTATTAAACATAATATTGACGATTTCGTAATTAAAATTGGTTATATCTGGAATATACACAATTTTATTTTTGACACTTTCATTGCGAGATCACCTATATTTGAAACAACAGTGCGAGGACAGAAAAGGAGAAATCATTTCAAATTGTTACTAGAGACCACTTCTGTGGTTTACTCTTCTTAGAGAAAATACACTTCTTCGCAAACGTGAGCGCCCTCGAACATATTAGGTTTAATGCATGCATGAAACGTGGAAGCATGCAGGAAGCGTGAGTGAGGAAATTTCTGTACAAATTTAATGAACGTGTGGCAAAATACCATCGATCTTTGAGCTATTTAACCAGTTACATATGTTGATCCGATGGCCGTGATCGATAAGGCAGTTGTGCAGTGGCAGTCTCGGATCAAAGGATCGCAGGTTCGAGTCCCGCGTCGGGCAGGGTTGTGAGGTGTGTGTGTGTGTTCGTGTGAGTCTCTTTCATCATTTAGCATTCATCATCATCATCATAATTCCATCCCGTCCCCAGGGCTCACAACCCTGGGATAAATAGGAGAATCAGCATTAAAATACAGATTCCCCCTATAGAAAAGTAACGTGAACCTACCCCGATAATCAAGTCTGAGCCCCGGTGGGATGCACGTATCGCGTGGCCCCATAATGGCCGATTCGCGAAAACATTACATATTGGGTATTTTCCCCATCACTGATAATCAACTTATCATACACTGGTGTTTTTCGTGCACCATTCTGAGGGAGTCGAGATATTTCGTGTACCCGCTAAACGGCAGTGTAGAACGTGTTGCCAGCATATCAGGGGCACATGTCAAATACATAATTTCATTATATGAAATATTCCGCCGTGTCTGTTAGCAAAGAGTTATCAACATTGATAGTCCTGTAAGCTCTAGATGTTTATATACTATATTCTGAGATTTTTATGTGTAATGAATCAATTTCTACTGATTGTACGATAGCAGAAGACAAAATCCCATTTCTAACAATGTTAAATCTAGAAAACAAGAAGTCACTTTTTTCATTAATACCATTAGCTTTAGAAATAATCAAATATTCATTCACACGTATCTCTTTTTGCTAGTTAAACCTCTTGTGTAGGAATGGGTGTTATTTTGTTCCTGTATTGGTCATTCTTCCATCCTGACCTGAAGTTGGCGCTTCCAAGCGTAATTCCATCCGCACAGAAATTGTAACAGGCTGCAACTTCCTCCAGACGACGCGTAGTCTAATGCGACTCGTCGCCGATGCCCGCGCTCTTGTCCGCCGCTTTGCCTCAGGGCAAATCTCGCCGTTTGAATACGTGCCCGCCGCTGCTCTAAAGGCCCATTCACATTGCAAACGTAAACATAAGCATACCGCATAGACGTAGAGTGTAACATAAGTGATAGATTGAAGTATTCACAATGTCTAACATAAACGTAATCAAAGTAAGAGTTTCTATTGGCTGAGAGACATTGTAGTTTACTATTAGTTGGATGTGAGAATCGATTTCGAGGTATCGACTTTGTCCATGGCTCGGGATACATGGCGTTAGTTCGTCTATCGACTTCGATTCTCATTTTGAGTTGACGTACTGTGATTGGTTCATTTCTTATGTCTTACTTGAGCATAAGAACAGAAGCTTGAGGCTTGCAAGCTTCTAGGTTAACGTCTTACATGTTATGCTTATGCGAACGCATTGTAAATGAGTCCGCTTATGGACGTAGTCCTAACTTTTATGTTAACGACATGCTTATTTTTATGTTTGCATTGTGAATGGGTGTAGTCGGAACCAGCATTGCTTTCTTTCAATTTCTGTGCTTGGAATTAGTAATATGGATGCTTTTCTACTTTCCCGAGTACCGTGTTCTTTAAGGAAACCATAGACACCTCTCAAAAGTCCGGGGCTGCGGAGTTATTTTTTTAAATTCGGGGCGCATTGAAAACTTATAATAAAGATAGATGGTTTTGTAATTTTTCTCCGAATTTCTGAGAATTATACAAAACCGTAGAAACATCACAAACGGCTGGAGGTTGCGTACTTTTCCATCAACTTCTGTGCCTCTTGAAAATTAGTGATATGTTTATTTAAGCTTTAAATGGATATTTGCATTCCTTCTTTCGCTTATGACAGGTATTGCCCAGCCGAAAGATCGTGTCGGTGAAACTGAATGGGGATACATAAAAACTGCATTGAATGTTATATTCCTGGTGTTGGACTACTTTTGTGGTGGGATGCTCATATCAATAGCTTTTGTTCCAAATTTCTTTCTCATAATCCATCTAGTACCATTGCAGCTGGTCTAGAACCTAGAACTTGACTGCAACATTGCCGCCATCATTGCGTGGATCAGAAACGTCAGTATCGCGTGCTAAGTGTCTCTGAAGCGAATGTCACGGTCGCTTTGCGGAAAGCCTCATGTTCAGCATATTAATGTTCACGAAGTACAGCATATGAACCCAACTACGCATCTTTTATTCAGTAATACGAAGATTATTTAGGATAGAGGACCTTCTTGAGTTGAGAACCTTGGATTTTCAATTAAGAAAATGGAGAGAGGAGGTCTGTGTATAGCGTTCGTGACTTGGGGAATGGTTCTCAGACCCTTTCGATATGTTCCAATCTTCTATTGGAAAGTTACGTAGTAATCGCTGTGATTTTCATAGCGTTTATTGCATGCAAAAATACGTGTAATGAAAACTTTTGATTCGATTTATTTTGTCAAAGAACAGTAAAGATGAATTTCATTTTCGTTTTTGCTTAGATTTGTCAGGACTAAGTGCGCAACAAAGTCCTACGTATTCTAGCACTTGCAGGGGAAGTGGAATCTAAATAATAATAATAAAATAATAATAATAATAATAATAATAATAATAATAATAATAATAATAATAATAATAATAATAATAATAATAGTGTATGTGTATGTCTGCACGTTTCTCTCGTCCATTTATTCTTCATTATCATCATTCCATATCCCATCCCCCCTAGTGCTAGCAACCCTGCTGGATAAAAATTGGTTTCAGAATAAGAATGCTGATCCCTCCAAAAGGAAGCACATACACTTGCCACGAGAAAATGTAACCGACCCTCCGTAAGTGCAGGTGTATGTTTACATGCTCATAGGTAGCCAAAAAGCCTACCAAATAATAATAGTAATAATAATAACTATAATAATAAATTATAATTTTCAAACAAATAAAATATATTTAAAATAAAAATTGTTTTCTATACGTGCCCTTGCTCGGCCGAACTCTTATCCCCATAGTCTTTGTTGGTGATCATTTACGATCTCTTAAATTTGAAGATGGTTAGGATTTTCTGAACACTTGATTTTGTCGGACTTTTATATCCGGTCTTTAATGTGTTGCGTGCCCATTGCTTCTATTGTGAATAATCCGGCCCCTGAGAATCTACTGGTATCATTCGGAACTGAAACTGTACTTTGGGGGTTCCTAACGGGCTAACCCCCACCTACCGAGATTGTGCGTGTTCGCGGAGAAATTTTGAAGAATAATCCCAAGATTAATCTTCACGTCCCTGTGGATACTTCTTACTTGAAAACAGAATACGACAGCACTGAAGTACAATCATAATGAAATCGCAATGGAAAATGACGTTATGTTCACATGCAAAATTTTTAGTATAGAAACCCTTAGTTGACACCAGTCTCTTCTGACACTGACAGATTCTGGGAATTAATAACGAGCATCTACACTCTAATATTATTATCAATGTCGAGCTTTTCGAGAATTAATTACAATTAGGTTTCTGCCGAGATCGGGGATCTGAAAGTCAATATTACCTGCGGTAAAATTATTCAAGTGAAGGCCTCGTTCATCGCATGTGAACGTTGTAATAACACGCTACTGCCAGTGACGTCATTGATCTGTTAATTGGAAGAATCAAAACGGGCTAGAATCCTTTTTCGAGAACCATCAGGACTGCTGAATATTACCGCGGTCCATCTATCTGCTACGAACACAATCGCATTTGGTGTGATTATATTCTTAGAAGATAAATGCATATTTTTGAAATACTATTTTTTGACAATTGTGCTATACAATTCGCGAAAGAATGTATCATATAATATTGCACATGGTGTTGAAATATGTTTTGTTGACAAAATACGAGTTGTTAGGCGTAGTATATTAATACTTGATTTCGATGTATGGGTACGATTATATATTAGAATCTCGAATCGTTAAGGTGTGAGTAATGCTTGATAATAACAGAACGGTATTATTTTTCCTAGGGAAACAAAATCACTAATTTCTATATCAAAAGTTGTACATTTGACAAGTTTTCTTTATGGAATGCGTGAATTACTTCCTCTACCAGAATTTATACGTGATTAAAATAGTTTACTTTGCACTATGTCGGCTACTTCAGCAAAATGTATGAAATAAAATATTTTGTTGAAAAACATTACACGAGACGTCAGTAGTGAGTTCCTGCGAGGCCGCCTACCCTCAAAACAGCAGTTTAAGGAATTGCAACATGCTAGCCATAAAAGAAAAAAAGGGGCAAGGCAAGATCACGCTTAAAACATGATTCATTTTTCTTGGGAGACCTTGCATCATCAGATGGAGAAACTTTAGAGATGACGACCGCTGAAATTCTGTGGGAGTGACCTCAACGTCGCTTAGAGCTAATCGATATCTTCAGTTGTCCACAAGATTGTTTTCTACAGACTTCTAAACCCTCTCCACTTAAGTTTGAATGAAATTCTCAAACCGGTTTTAATTGCAAACTGTACCTATTTCTCGTAATGTGAGCTATTATGTTAAGGTAGGCACGTAAATACGCGTAATAAATGAAATATGTTACAAAACTCACATCTGTGCTGATAGTTGAGAATCCTCCCGTGAAGTTGTAGTGCCAGCCTTGGTCGCATGGAATTGTTGGCTGCGAAGAATTACCCTGGTGCGGCCTGTTACGAGTCGTAATCCACTTGAGATAAGCGGCTGCCATGTCCCCCTCGTATCTTCGACACTGACTGTAAGAAAGCCCTAACAGACAAGAAAAAAATCCATATAAAATTATGAGAAGACTCTACTTGCGTGTCACGGATATGTTGTTTCTTAAAAATTCTCAACTTTCAAAGTTATCAAATAGTACATGAATTTTAAAATAGGGATAAAACAAAGGAATTATATGACTGAAATCTCACTGCTTGATTTGGGCTTCGGTCTATTCTAGGTTTTACATCATCCCCAGGCATTCGAGTGAAATTTAGGAAGTATCAAATGAGCTCTCGACAAGATTCATTGGGTCCTCTCGTTTCTCGTATCATATATTCTGCTCCTGTATGATGCTTCAACGTAACCATCTTTCGCCCTAGCATTGTCTATAATTATATTTGACTAACATAGGCAATCATCTCTTGGCAACATTAAAGAAAGTTAAAAACATTTTTGTATATTTATATTTATTTGCTTAATCACCAGAATTTCCCCAGGTACTCTCTTCTTTTTTGTTTCTTTCTTGAGGAAAAATATTTCCTACTTGCTTCCTGCTCTCGCTTACGTACATTGTTCTTGCTCCCGGTTTGGAATCCCCTTGTAAATTTATATTTTCGGCGTTGAGTCAGAGCGAAATTATCGACTAAGGAACCACAACGTGAATTTCTTGCTAGGCGTAACCAGTTTCAGAATAAAAGTTGAAAATTTCCAGAGTATGTAGGCAGTCGAAGGACAGTGAACATGTGAAAATTATTTCTCGTAAAAAACGTTACACATGTGACATTTTCCCCTGATTGGTAAGCAACTAATCGTGCTCTGGTGCTTGGTAGGTACCTGTTCTGATGAGCTCAAATAAATTTCGTAAACCTTCCACAAACCACTGCAAGATGAGTTGCCTCAAAATCAAGGCTAAACTTCACAATGTTACACGTGTCAGGCGAAATTTCGTTATATGAGATATCCCGCTACCAGTCATAACCTTATTTGATCCCACTAAATGACCTAAAACAGTAATTCTTATATTTTTTACATCGAACCCAATTAAAGGAATTGTTTGCTTCATCGATTCTTCAACATTTTTCTCTGTAATATACGCGAACAAAATCCTAATATAAGAAATTGAACTCACATTTGGTTTTGTTTTTTGAACTGGCCATAACATTTCCACAGAGCATATTGCGGGGAATATTTTCTTTTGAAATAGATTAACGTTGTGAATAGATAAAAAAATTCATCGACTCCAAGCGGACCGATGACGACCCCGTCGTGAACCCCTGCTCTACAAGTTTATAAACGTCCTTCTGAGACACCTACAGTCCAGGGTTTCATGGGCATCCGTCGAGGCTCACAGTGTTCTTCTGAGATGCCACTGCGCGCAAGCAATGGAGGCAGTATTTCGCTTCTCACCGCACTGCGTGTCTGCCCAGTAGAATTAAATATAGTCAAACAGCTTTTTTGTTCATCAAACACGGACGATTTTCGGGGAAAGGTCGCATGTATTACTCCCCTGTATACGTAAAAAGCCAGGATTACACTAGTATTTAAAAAAACAAAAAACTATTAATTTTGCCTATTTCAAGATACATCTGCCCTCCAAGGTTGCCGAGGCAAATGTTTGCAAAAATTAGAGGGCATGTGTGCGAGACCTTGAGGGCGTTGGCGCGTGGGCACCGTGAACTGCAGCACCTCGTGCAGCTCGAGGGGCAGCTGCGCCTGGAGGGAGTCGGCGCGGGCGTCGCGGCACCAGTGGCCGGGCACCAGCAGCGCGGCCAGTTGCGCCCCGAAGCCCAGCCCGGCCGCCGCGGCGCACGCTTGCCCGCCAGCAGCAGTGCCATGCGGCGGGCCGGGGGCGGCGCGGCGGCGCGGCGCGGGCGGCGCGGGGCGGCGCGGGCCAGCGAGACTCCCCGTCCATTGCGCCGCGCGCCGCAGTTGCCTACGCACCCCAAACACGGCATGAGCATCACAAAACTCACATTGGACTGGTGGGAAGCTGAACAGGACAACACATTGGTATCTGCAAACTCAGATACTTATGATCGGGGTAGTTGGCACCATTTGTAGTTATTATTTTTTTACGCAACTACTGTTAAGTGTTGTCAAGTTTGATTCTGTTAAAAATAACTGTATTAGGCTACCTTATGGTATTATTTGTTTGTGAATGTTTGACTGTCGTTAAAATTCATCAAGTCAAGATATGCCAACCAACCACACTTGTGTGGTTGATTGACTCAAGCCTTGGATTAGGGGATTAGGTTGCCCTTATGATGGGTTAACTTGCCACACTACTTCCACGAGAGTGGTATGTAATAAATAAATAACAAAATTATTCATTTTTCAATGTTTTTCACACAAACAAATGTAAACAAGTTTATCATCGTTTGGTCTTGCAGAACACCGTCACATTGGCAACTGCAGACGTAATAGTTACAAAATTAAATATTTAAAAAATCAGACTTTAATTTGATTTAACAAATTCTTTTAATAAAATATGTTTGTATTTTTTGGTTGAGTAGGTCACCTCATCTGTTTCAATTTCAAGCACCTAACTAGAAATTCAGTGAAAAGATTGGTACTTTATGAAAGCAGGTACCGGTTGAGTTAATCTGAGAGACATTATTGCCGCTGTCTCTACAGCGAGTCGAATATAGGGGTTCTAGGTGTCAACTCTCAACTATGATGGATTTTCGACATCTACTATATAGTTAGGTTGAATTTAGCCGCTGTTTGGAGCAGAATTCTAGATGCTGGCTATTCTGAACAGTATTTGCTACGCTATTCTGGAACGGAATGCTATTCAGAACGTTCGCCAGAATATATACGAATATGTTTCTAATTTTGTTCTTTAAGCCACGACTACAGACGCACTAAGCACAGGGCACGGGGCGTCCGTCCCTCGGTCCGGTCGACCGTCTGCCCGTCTGTCGGAATGTCTGTCTGTCTGTCCGTCCGCCTGTTCGTCCGCCTGTCCGACCGCCTGTCCATCCGCCTGTCTGCCTGTTTGTCTGCCCGTCCGTTTATCTATCTGTCCGTCAGTCGGACCTCTCTCCGGCCGCCCGTTCGTCCATTAGTCTGTTGGCAACGTTAGCGTCTAAACCGTTTACACGTTGTTTTTTGTTAAATTGATGTTCCCCAATCGATTTGGAGGAACTCGAGATCTGCTAATTTGAAACGGATATTTTAATTTTTACTGTATATGAAAAAATAACATTTTCAAAATTTTCTCTAAAGATGTTCCAATTTTTTAAGGAAATGTTTTCCTCGGGTACAACAAAGGATACTTAAAATAGCGCAGGTCTTATTTTTCTGCTAAAATATTAAAGATATATTATCATATAATTATAATATATAAAGATATATTAATGAAACCCGTTCTTCAAAGACATCTTTAAATACCTTCGTGTACAATTCTTCGAAAAGATGAGAAGTCGGCATAAAGTCGAATGAGTAGATGAAGATGGTCTTTCACACGGCTCGGCTCATTACAGATCTCCTGCAGTGGTTTCGCTGGGAGATGTTTGACAATCCACCACATCTCCCGTCCCACAATAAATTTCCTTATTTTCTTACTCCTCAAGAATTTTCTGTCCGGGCCGCGTCACTTATCATAGTGACGCGGAATAACAGGTGACTGTCAAACACCGATCTATCCTAGGCATCGAACTTCTGCGAAACAAGGATACAAATGTTGATACCACAGTATAAAAATGTCTCAGTTCAGGTGGTGATGTGGGAAAATAGTGCAATATATGCTGTATCAGCTCTAATACAGTTTTTCATTAAATGTTTTCTTTTTCTTGATGGCCTAGAGAAACTTACTTTCTGGATGGACTCCTATGTATAGAAAACACTTATGTATGGAGAATTTCTGGCTGCGTGCCTTGATTCCATGTCTCACGGAATCTACACAGCAACGCACAAAATTACACAACGCTGTGCAATGCTCAATTAACGCTGCTCCTCTCGCTTTTTGCGTCTAATTCAGCCTATTAGCCGCCGAGGCAACTTCCCTGTGATCATGAAGGACGTGTTCTTCTTAATTGCTCCCCTCTGGAATTCGGTGCTAATCCTAAATACTCTACTCTCAACGGTCGAGTTGAGAGCCTCCAAGTCGTCAGTGTCTGTATTTATCACTGCTTCAGCTGCATCTTCCCACACTCATTTTCTCGTTTTCCCTTCCTTATTATTGCAGAGATAGATAAAAATCTCAATGCAAGTGACACATCAAATGACTAAAGACCCAAACCCATTTTGTTTTAGAATAATTTAAAATCGATTTTTGTGCAAAATTAAATCAGAATATTCGCTATATATATATATTATTTTATATATTATATACTATATATATATTAATATATATTGCTTATTAGTATCAAATGATTTTTCTCAACATTGGCAACTTTTGTCAATGGAAAAGTTTATTTGTAACATTACATTCGTAGTTTTAATGACGTATCGAATACCAGTGCCCGCTAAATTTTAAATTTAAATTAAATGATTAAAAATTAGCGCCTCTGAGATTTCTAATAATTCATTTTCTTAATATTTGACGTGACAATAGCAAAAACAGTTTGAGAGTAGGAGGGAGTTACAATCTGTGTGAGTTCTTGTGCTTGATCTGCCCGGTTTTATTTAATTACGTTTAAAGTTGGCCAAAACGGTAGTTATGAGCGTTTGTGGAAACTTGTAACAAGAATATGCCTCCTGTACAATAGAAACTTCGAATCGGTAAATGAAGACATATTTTGGCTCTTTAACTTCGTTTGTCCAGAGAGATCGTGTAACTCGCAGAACACAAACGAATGAGTACTGTGACGAAATACAAATTTTTCATTATACTACCAGGGGATCAAGAACTTTCCAGCAAACTGATGTTTTATACAAACAAATAGGAGGGCCCCCCCATTCAGATTTGATCCCAATGGTTCAAGGGAAACTGAAAAACTTGATCGGGGGGGTTTATTACGTAAGCTTAAGTTACAATTACTTGTTTTGTCATTTATACGTTTTTGCTATTGTAAATTATATAGTACAAATATTTAATAATGCAAATATTATTATAATTGTTAAATATATCATTTTTCCGCTTTTTTGTGTCGTATGTGTCATTTCATTATTTGGAATAGCATTGATCTTTTGCATTTGATATTTTTAATAGTTCATTCAACGAACTGGATTATTGTAAAATACCATTTCAATTTGCCCGGAAGCAATGGTATAAATCTCAATCCTATTAGCAGGGGGCAAATATAGCTATGGGTTAAAGTCTGATTGAGTTATGTTTTCGAGGAGGAATTGGGCACTCTGCATATAAATTGAGTTGTATATTTTTAGTTCACGTGAACTACTTCTGCGACATAGGCTGAGATATCTTTGATTTTTGATGTAATTTGTAGTATTTGGAAATGTTTACGCTGTTAATGCCAGTATTAATCTTTATTAAGAGAATGGTGTAAAGGTACCTAACACGCACCTAGTAAATAGTTTCTAGATGCTCGAGAGAGGCCAGACAAATTAATATATTTTTTGACGTGGGCAAAGGTCGCTTCATGTCCATGTGAGTTCTCCCTTTTGTGCTACGAGGGTAACGGAGGTTTTGTTCATCCGCGGTGCGAACGTAACAGTGTAACAGTTTTTTAGCTTAGGTTAATCGAAAATTTTCTAGTATTGAATAATTGAAGTAATTTCAATCAAATAGTGAGTGTTATTAAAGAATAGTATACGTTATTAGTGTGGCTCGCAGTGCCTATTGCCGAAGCATAGGACCAGTCGCCACCATGGATCATTATGAAGCTCCGCATCAGAATAAGTTCAGAGACTGTATCGGCAGCAAACCATAATACCGTCAGCATCAAGCAATACAATACTTGAACAAAATTATCGCAAACAAGCATTTACACGATTCAGCCAATGAGGCCATCAAACGTAAGTCAAACTCTTTCAAATGAAGCAAGTGATTCAAGTTTCTGCAAGTGTGTCACTATTCTAAAGATAAGAAATCTTGGCCAAAAAAGTTACGTATAGAAATACAAAACGTAAAATTGTGCATTGATAGGAAGACGAGGTCGCAGCGAGGGAGATATTTCTTTCATGTCGTGACTCGAACATATTTGAGATGCTAGTAGCAAGAAATTTGAAAAGTACCTCACAACCCCAGAAACTTAATAAGCAACATACTCCACTATATCCATTCCAGGATGTAAGAAGAGTTATGGATGAAGATAAATTCAAGAATTCTTAAACAGAGATTTACTACTTAAAATTTGCTTATATCCCGCCATGTATATGCCCGGCACAATTCCGAGCATGTTCGCCAGTCGTAAGCACTTGAAAACAGAATTTTATGTTTCATACTTATTCAGATGAAGAAGATCGAGCATCGAGATAGTATTGATCTATTCATCCCTCAGATGTTGCCCCAATGTCAAGAGATGAATCTTGGTCACAAGTTCGTCAAATTGTTAATGCTAATCGTTCCTAGGCACATATCCATATTTTTTGTTGACCTGAAAGCCAACAACAATAAACGTATTTTGAATAATGCGTCTTAGACTTTATGGTTTGTTCGACCTGTTCGCAAAGAGAAGAATGTCAATGTAAAACTGCTTGACCTATGGTACTCTAAAAGTTATTGCACGAACAAGCGTGGAGCTGCGCAAGAAAGGCCCGCCATTGAGTTGTAAAGAAAGATAGCATGCCAATGTGCGCCCGATGCGGAGGCACCCCGTCCAAAATAAGATGTATATTATCAATTTAAAAGAAGAGATTCCCCTGACACAAATTATTGCCATAAAATCCCAATTGTCGTTTCTCGTAAAAGATTTCCGCAACGTTCCTCCAAGACACGTGGACGATTCTCCGTAATCACAATTACGCGATCTTTCTAAAGCACTGCGGAGTGATTGAAGAATTGTCAAGAATGCGTTTCGAAAATTT